TATAATTAAATAGCAGATATAAGTAAATGTAATGATAATATTATTCATACCAAACATTTAAAAAAATTATGTACATTTTAAGCTTTAGATATTACATATACATACAATATACATTTACAGCCTAACAAATGTCCTCCACAGCTGAACATAGACCTCCGAGCCTCCCACATAGTTTATCTTCAAAATAACTGCAGTTGCCAATCCTCCTGCCAAGCTAGGCAACTATCACAAAACCTATAACTTTTGACTTTTGATACTGAATAATGGTAACGGTAAGTATAATATCATCAAATTTTTCTACATCATTAATTGCGAATATTATCTTATGTTGTTGTGTTATTGTGTACCTTAAGATTAAGACTTATTTATTTATTATTTGGCATATTATAGGATTATCCGAAGTCCGAAGAGAGGGGGAGGACACGGTAATCCTCGAATCCGGCAACTTGCTCTATTACCGGGAGGGCGACCATCTGTCCCAAGGAGGTGTCGGATTTATCGTCCACAAGTCTCTCGTTAACAACGTTGTAAAGATTGAGAGTGTGTCGACGAGGGTTGCGTACCTTATACTCAGAATCACCAAACGGTATTCGCTGAAGGTCATACAGGTTTACGCACCAACCTCGGCACACCCCGATCAGGAGGTGGAGGAAATGTATGAGGATATCTCTAGAGCCATGCATTCCTCCAAAACCCAATATACGGTGTTAATGGGAGACTTCAATGCAAAACTAGGCACAAGAGAGAACGGTGAGCTGAAAGTAGGGAAATTTGGAATAGGGCAACGGAACCCAAGGGGCCAGCAGCTGGCCGACTTCATGGAGAAAGAGGGACTCTTTATGATGAACTCTTTCTTCCAGAAGCGGCCCCACAGGAAGTGGACCTGGTCGAGCCCCGACGGTTCGACAAAAAATGAGATTGACTTCATTATGACGACCAGACGACAACTGTTCAGTGATGTCTCAGTGATCGCGAAGGTGAAAACCGGCAGCGATCACCGAATGGTTAGAGGCACACTGAACCTAAACGTTAAGTTGGAGAGGTCTCGTCTAATGAAGTCAACGCTCCGTCCCCCTCGTGCTCTAATCCAAAGTCCCGAAACCTTTCAGCTCGAGTTACAAAACCGTTTTCAGTGCCTAGAAGACTGCAATGAAGTGGACGATTTGAATGACAAGCTCGTGGAAACTGTCCATGCGGTCGGAGCTAAGTTCTGCAAGACCCGCCGCAGAAGAACACAAAAACTCTCCGATCACACTCTTAATCTCATGGCTGTTAGACGGGAGATGAAGCTACATTCTTCAACAGATTTAACAGCATACAGGCAACTGAACAGACAGATCTCCAAATGCATGCGGCGGGACTTACGCAAATTCAATACAGCTCGTATTGAAGGAGCGATCGAGCGGAACCGAGGCTCCAAAGTCTTTGCCAGAGATCTGTCTGCCAGAAAGCGCCAACTGTCAAAGCTGAAGACAGAATGTGGCAGCATCGTTTCCGGGGCACCTGAGATTTTGAGTGAGATTGAGAGGTTCTATGGGCAGCTGTACACGTCATCGTTGGAGCCGCACGCAAGTGTGAGTAACGATCCAAGAGCGAGTCTTATCCGACATTATTCCGATGATATCCCGGACGTCAGTCTGAGCGAGATTAGAATGGCTCTCCAGCACCTTAAAAACGGCAAGGCCCCAGGCGAGGATGGAATTACAGCGGAGCTTCTGAAAGCGGGTGGAAAACCGGTACTTGAAGTCCTTCAGAAGCTCTTTAATTCCGTCCTCCATGGTGGCATTACACCGGAGGCGTGGAGCAGAAGTGCGGTGGTCTTGTTCTTCAAGAAAGGCGACAACGCTCTCTTGAAGAACTACAGACCGATTTCCCTTCTGAGCCGCGTCTACGTGCTGTTTTCGAGAGTCATTACGAATCGTCTCGCGCGCAGACTTGACGACTTCCAGCCTCCCGAACAAGCTGGTTTCCGAAAAGGCTTTAGCACCATAGACCACATACATACCCTTCGGCAAATTGTACAGAAGTCCGAGGAGTACAATTTGCCACTATGTCTGGCGTATGTGGACTATGAGAAAGCCTTTGATTCCGTCGAAATTTGGGCGGTGCTGCAGTCCCTTCAGCGATGCCAAGTTGACTGTCGGTATATCGAAGTGTTGAAGTGCTTGTACAGTAGGGCTACGATGGCTATCCGAGTACAGAACCAGAGTACGAAACCTATCCAATTGCAGAGAGGTGTAAGACAGGGTGACGTCATATCCCCGAAACTCTTTACCGCTGCATTGGAAGATGTTTTCAAGCTTCTGGACTGGAAAGGATACGGTATCAACATCAATGGCGAGTACATCACTCACCTTCGATTTGCCGACGATATAGTCCTTATGGCAGAATCGCTGGAGGACCTAAGCACTATGCTCAATGACCTCAATAGTGTTTCCCAAAGGATAGGTCTTAAGATGAACATGGACAAAACAAAGATCATGTTTAATGTCCATGTCACACCTATGCCGGTAGTTGTTGGGAACACTAAGCTCGAAGTTGTTGACGAGTATGTTTACCTGGGACAAATAGTCCGACTAGGTAAGTCCAACTTCGACCGAGAGGTCAATCGACGGATTCAACTCGGTTGGGCAGCGTTCGGGAAATTACGGCACATCTTCTCGTCAGGTATACCTCAAAACTTGAAAACGAGACTGTACACCCAGTGCGTGTTGCCAGTTATGACATACGGAACTGAGACGTGGTCCTTCACTGCTGGCCGGATGAGGAAGCTCAAGGTCGCTCAGCGAGCTATGGAGAGGGCTATGCTCGGAGTCTCTCTGCGTGATAAACTCAGAAATGAGGATATCCGCAGTAGAACTAGAGTGACCGACATAGTCCAACGGATTAGTAAGCTGAAGTGGCAATGGGCCGGCCATATAGCTCGAAGAACCGACAACCGATGGGGAAGAAAGGTTCTCGAGTGGCAGCCTCGTACCGGCAGGCGAAGTGTAGGGCGTCCCCCCACTAGATGGAGTGACGACCTGGTAAGATATGCAGGAAGTCGATGGATGCAGGTGGCTCAGGACCGTGCTTTGTGGCATTCTTTGGGGGAGGCCTATGTTCAGCGGTGGACTTGTGAAGGGCTGTAATGATGATGATGATGATGATTTATTATTTTATCTATATTTGTATTTATTTATATTTTAATAAATATTGTAATGTAATTGTTGCTAATGTATAATATAATTTACGGAATGCAATAAAGTTTTGTGCATCTGATTTCTGCCAGTACATATTTTGTGAAATTAAACATACTATGCCCAATATTTATGTATTTGAACCCAAACATGTTTTCAGGTTGATACTTACATATTATTTGTGACGTCTATGTAATATAGGAAATGATTGAAGAGTTGTACGGCAATAAGGAGTGTTTCCTTTAAAACTGAACATAAAATTGTATGTATATGTATAACATTATGTGATTCATATTTATGGACATAACTACTAATCACAATAACAATTATTATTGAACAATGGGAAAACATTATTGTACTCGCTGATATCTCTAAGTTTCCATAATCCTACCAAATCAGAAAGTACACGTTTGTTATGGCTTTAAGCTTTCGAATAACCGTTCAAATTAAGAAGCATTATCATGAAGAATTACAATTTGAGAGTTCAAATATTTGACAAAATACATCACAAAGTACATGAAAAACATGAAATGTTACACTTTATATTCAGAACAATAGATATTAATCAGTACAAGTAGCAAATGTAAGCACAGAAGAAACTTACTGATGAAATCTAATATTTACAATTTTTCGTTGACTGATGCTGTTGCATCCTAAAATACTACAATATACCATCTTTTTCATCTTACCTAATAACTAAAACCCACAAAAAACACTAAATTCAATTACCTGTTTGCTTACAATATCGATGTCATTCAAAAATGCTTGACATCGTTTATGTCAAATAAAGGATGGAAAACAATCAAAAACGCATACCTAGAAAAAGACAAGAAATATAGTTTTGCTTTTGCCTTACTCTTACCTATCTCTAACTATATACGTGCATTCCTTTCACACGCTGAAGACGTCACTGTATGTTTAGTCTATAAGATACTAAGTCTATGGTGACAAACGAGCACACAGTCCACCTGATGGTAAGTGGTTGCTATGGCCCATAGGCATCTACATCTATCCTCGATTACGAATCAAAATGCAGATGCGTTGTCACCCGTGAGAGACTAAGATGGAATGCCTCGTTTCCAGTAAAAAAGGGTCTCCAGTTCTCTATACTCACCATACGAAACACAGCAGCGTTAAGCTGCTATTTTACGCTGGTATTCGGTGAGAGCGTGGTCCTTCTCCGGTCGAGCCGACCCATTCGTGCTACGACTATAACAGTAATTTAACTGCAGCATGGCCCTACCACGTAAGAATGTTATGCATATTACCTTCATACTTAGTATCGTAGTTACTCTATCTACGATTACCTTACCTTATTAAAAAAATGTTAGCGTGATTCGCGGTTTCTGTCTTTCTGTAGACAGAGAATAGAGATAATATTAGCTTGCTACATATTTCTTTATCTATGGATAATATCTATTCTCTGTCAACGGCGGTTTCATTAAATTGTCAAATTTGACATTTAAAAAATTAACGAAAAACTACTTTAGCTGGTACATATTATATTATTATAATTAAATTTTTATATATAATACATATATTTGAGAAGCTGGTAACTGCTCCTGCCGGTCTGGTGCTGTTCATGTTCAATGCTGATAACTGTTATGTTGTTTAAAAGCCCATGACTGAGGTATAAATTAAATAATTTTGTTCAAATTTAATGTTATTAATAACAGCCAGCTAGGTAACCGGTGAACAATATATATAAAGAAGGTATTTGTCGGTTTTATTTAAACGCATACTTTGTTTTAAAATTATAATTACAATGGACTATGTTAATTTTTTAAATTCTCTACTTACAGCGAACTCTCCACTGAAGAAATGTCGCGCTTTCGATTTCGAAGGCAAGATGGTTACACTGCAGTTCCAAATGATGATAGTGGGTTTTCAGATGCGCAATTTGAAGTACCGCCCCCTAGAATACCTTGGAAAGCTATAAGTTTAGCTGCATTTTTATTTATTGTGGGCACTATTCTACTTACGGTGGGCAGTCTCATTGTAACAGGCCACATAGACACAAAGTATTTAGATCGCTTATGGCCAATGATAGTTTTAGGTGGTATAATGTTTTTACCTGGTGCATATCACATAAGAATAGCATTCTATGCTTATAAAGAATATCCGGGGTACAGTTTTGCAGACATTCCTGAGTTTGAATAGTTGTAATTATAAGTTTGACTTATTTATTAATTTCGAAAGTGCAATGAAAAGACAACATACCAAATAAGATTTCAATATTAAAAATATTGTTAAGAACCAAATATTGTTTAATTAAGTCTCACAAGTCCATGACATAAAATTCTTCATCAGCCTGTGAAAAGCTTACAGCTGAATGTGGGTTTCCTTCCCAGTCACCAACAGGATTATATTGGGTGATGGGTAACATTACCATATTAACTATTTATAATTTTCTATTAGTTCTAAGAGACAAACATTTACAACTAATAATAACTACCATAGAATAAAAACCTTTTCGTTTTGTGCCAGTTCAAATACTAATAAAGCTCTATGTTTGTGTGTCAAGTGATTTTTTCTGTTCTGTGATAACTTCATTCTGATTTTGTCATAATTTTAAATTAAATCTTTGTTAAAAGTTTTTTCCTTATTAGAAAAACCATCCCCTCATTCTGTAAGATGTAAAGGGATACTGGAAAATAATTATTGGAATATATCTTAACTTCCAATATAACCATCCTGTTAACTTATGGTATAATGTACAAATTGGCAATGGTGGTAGGTACTGGGTCCACCTATCAGTCTTGCAAGATCTGCATCCAGCAGTTTAATGGGCTGTGAAAGAAGGGTTAACACGTTAGCGTGAGCAACCTAATCTCTAAATGTTTGTACTGCTGTGGTGTAATGTTTGTGATTTTTTCCCATACAAAGTTAAGCAACATCTCAAGACGTCCCGCCGTAATACCTATGTCTTAGAACTGTGTTATGTGGCGCAACGTTTCTTCACGTCCAACGTTTATAAACGTCGCCGCCACCCAGCAGGTCCGATATACCATAATAAGCAACACAACGTTCATACGCGGAAATAAATATGACAATCTAGAGGATGTCCTATGACGTCGCGCGATTTCATAATTCTATCAACACGACGGTGTAAGACGTGCTCACGCAAATGTGTTAAACTATAGACATCCGGTACTCGCGTACGGTGCGTAGTGGAAGGGGAAGTGTTCAGAACCTCCCCCCTTGAGGAAAGGCATAGTTTATGAGTAGTTTTTTTTGTAAAATCATAATCTCACTTTTTTACTCAAGAATATTGACACAAAGTTACTTTTGCAACGGCTTCACTGCTGCAGGAAGTGCAGCCCCATCGCCCTTGCATAGCAAATCACAGGCACCCATGCTCACTTCTGCAGCTTCGGCTTATACCAGCCTCATCCGCTACGGCTCACTCAGGGGCCTGTGATTTGCTACAAGGGGAGGGGCTGCTCTCTCTACAGTTATACAAAAACACTAGGGGTAGGGCAGACAAGACTGTGGAGTCAGGTTGTTCTGATTCAGTTTTAGTACAGATTTGACCTATCTTATCTATAAAGTCAGGTTTCACTAAACCCTGCTACGTATAGTAGTAAATGAAAGAATGTAATTTTAATTATTTAATTTATTTTATATACATGCTTTATTGCCGCATAATTTCTTTGAATAGATTCTTTTCATATTTTTCTATGCTTCGCCTCCACAAACACTCTACTATCACGTCTGTAAAACTTTTTGAATTATTGTAATTTTGTTTTCAACAAAACCTATTCACTGCTCTCCACTGCGACTCAATTTGTGTGTATGAGTCGCATCTTCAGCCACAAAAGGATTACCCGTGTTCTGCCGTGCAATCATATGCCCGCCAATAATCAGTATGAATTGTGGTACCCGCCGCCATATGTTTCTGTATAAGTGGCACCAGTACCTCAGAAGACCTAATAATGTCCGGGCACACCTCTAGTCTGAGATTGTCAGACTCATTTTCTATCATACCGAGCACCCTTCGATGTGACGTCCTATAACAAATAAAATTAATTTTAGATATTTAGTCTGACAAAAAAAAAGGTCTAAATAATCATACTTATGTATATTTACTTTTATTGTATTTGCGTTTTCCAAATTTGCTCTCATCAATTTGTACAATTTTACCAGGGCCATCAATCTTTCCAGAAAACTGATTTTGTTTCTCGAGGTAGTATATGACATCTACCTTTCTACAGTAATTGTACCAATCACATATTGTGTTTGGGCTTATTGTTGTCTCTGTCGTTTATACGGGTATTCACGAATCGTTTGATTATAAGACCATCCTTGTGAATATGCATATATGAGGTAATATATGTGGATCATATCAATATCAAAAGTCCCTTGTCGTCGTGAGATTTTAACTCCACTGCATCCAGCTAAACCCTTGCAGGATGCTTTAGCACATATGAAGGTACCAAAGGATTTGCAGCCACTTGAGTATGAAATTTTCATGTTAGTTTTGTGTTTGCCGCACTTTCGTTCATTTAGGATAAATAAAATATAAAACATGTCGACAATTTCAGTTTTGTTTCAATAGAAAAATTGGCCTTTACATCTAAAGATGATTTATACAGCGACAATAATTTTACGCCAGTTATTTTGGACGCTGTAGTGCCTGGGACATGAATCCAAACTAATAATATAAGTTTGGATTGCAAGTATAGTAAATCTTAATTTATGTTTACAAATTAATTTATTCATAAAAAAGATACGGAAAAAAAAACTAAACTATATAAAATGTTTTAAATTCAATTAAGTTGGTATATTAGAATTACAGTTTACGGCGTAATTTAATATTTTATGAAACAATGTTTAAATTATGCAAACTTCTTACAATTTTCACATAGAAAATAACTATAATAATATATACTCAAAACTTGCTACATATATATTTATCTATGACTCAAAAACAAAAACAACAACAATCAACAATTCATTGAAATTTGAAGGGAATGAACAAAGAGTATAGTAACTGTCCTTAAAGGAAGGAATGAAAAAAAAACATGCGCGCTTTTTTTTTAACGTTTAAGTGTAGCCATTTTATTAAAGTTGGCAAAAAATTACTTTGCGTACCGCTTAGCGGTTAGCCGCCGTAGAGTCTATATCACTCGTGTAGAGGCGAAACACGTGTCGTATTGTCGTCAGTGGTGTGTCTTTCCTAGTGTAGTGGTGTTGGGAGTAGTGGTGCTGGGATTAGTGGTGACGGGGATAGTGCACGCAATTGAGGGAGGGCGGGAGGTGCTCTTCAAACTAGGTAAGACACATCATTTTATTTTGTCGAGCGGATGTACGCAAAGTAATTTTTTCCAACTTTAATAAAATGGACTTCCGCAAAGTAACGCCCGATTCTATTAATTATGTTGCCATTTTATAAATTTAATATTCTTCTATAAACATGGAGAAGATAACTGTTGCTGTTGCTTTAATCAAATTTATTTATAGATCAAACGTAAACGTAACCAATATTTTTTTTATACCAGTTTGCAAAGCGCCGTCTATAGTACGATTTTTTGGAAAACTCAATTGTTATTCTCTCAATAACAATTGAGTTGAGTCTCTGTTAACTCAATTGGAATTCCCAAATTAACAAAATCGGAAGATCCAGAATAACAAAGTAAAAAAAGAAGAACATAGTATTTTAAAATAATAGATAGGTACAAAATCAATTGGTGGTACTCCTATTTTAGAGGTTTTCAAATAACTTAGCAAATTTGCCTGATGACGATTGACATTTGACATCATAGATAATATATTGTATTTGACATTTACGGTTGCCTGCGAAATGGCCGTCAACATCGTCCCGTTTCACACTTTTTACATCGGTTTTTGACATCTAATCTCATAACACTAGACAAAATTGTCATATTTGCGTTTCGTTATACGGAATATTTAGTGAAATTTATTTTTATCGTAATTAATTCAAAATGCATTTCGACATCTAAAAGCAGTAAAAGTTTCATGCTTAGCCCTGACAAGCAAGACAAGACAATTAAAAGCCAGTACCGGATGACGACTTAATTATGTGAGTGCTTATAATTATGAATCTGCAGTTAAAGTTACAGGTTGCTGGGCACAGGCTTCTTGTCATTTCTTAGGGTTTTAGGGCAAGGAAATGTCCACCGCGCTACCCCAATGCACGTTGGCGAACTTCAACTTCGAAAAACCTTTTCCTTATTTCTCAGACATGCGGGTTTCCTCACGATGTTTTCCTTCACTGCCGAGCTGATAAATCATCACTTAAGATTGCAATTAACAGTTTCATTCATGCCGGCAGTGATCGAACCCGGGTTGCTCGCGTATTGTTAAATTTACAGCGAACTTAACCCCTGACCTACCACGGCTCTGAGGTTACCATGAATAGTACTTGTTAAGAATTGTCATCAGTGTTAAAATTGTCGACCACTAAAATTCCTCGTCCAGTTTAAACTGGTGTTTTCACAGCTGGTCTGAGTATGGTATAATTTTCAATAAATACATAGTTATATTCCAGTCCAGTCCATTCACAAGTTTAAAAAGGTTGACAACCTTTTTGTGGATGGCACTCATTTTCTACCGACTTCAAAAAGGAGGAGTTATTCAATTCGACTGTATGTTTTGTTTTTCATAATTCCTCATAATTGTTTGTCCACCGGCTGGCATAGCGCCGGCGCTGTGACTGTCGTCAGCAGTCTTAATTTATCAATCTTAATTAATTTTGAAAAAAATAAATAAAATTCATTGCTATGTTACATACAATAATATTATTAATTTAACACTGGTAAATTTCCCATAGAGAACGCAGCATAGCTAAACCATATTGAGAAGTCTCTGCGGTAACTTCAGTATCGTAGAATAGTCACTTTTTCGCCAAATAATTGCTTTAATATTTACAAACGTTATTATTTAGTGGAAATTTAATTGAATAAAAACCAAGGTTTTTCAGGGTGATTTAGCTGTACCTACATATTTAAATTAAAACACCCGATGGTAGGTAGGTGAGATAAGCGCCGAGGTGGGGCGACCGAGCTCGACGCGTGGCAGTCGCTCGCTCGACGCGTGGGCAGTCGCTCGACACGTGGGCAAAACGTCGGTGCCCCGCCAGACACGATGCAGGGAGCCCGTGCGGCTCTCTTAGCGAAATTCAAGACGATGAAGTACGTGCTACTTCGTCACGTAGATATGTGAATTGTGCGATATTTAACTCGGGCGAGAGTGCGGAATAGTGTACGTGCGTCTAGTAGATATACGGTCTAGGATTCGAGCCGCGCATTCCTAGTTGAGAGCTTCTCCCGGTTAATTGTCAAGATATCATTATAATTGTGTCGGCGCGTTTAGTGCCCCTTTTGTGTTTGGGTTGCCTAGTTAGATTAATTTGCGTGTCAACGAGGCGTATTTTGACTCTGGCGCGACGTGTTATTCTGGTGCCGAATTTATAATTTGTGATAAGGGAATCCGGGACATTCAAAGTCGATTTTTGTGCTACTGTCCTTGCCGTGTCGGATATCACGTGTTCGATTCTGTGATGAGTGTGGAATTAGGCGAATTGAAGTTAGTTAAATGTACTGATGAAGTTGAGAGACTGAGTAGTGACAGTGAAGAAAGAAGTGGTCCGGCGCTGAAGCCTGCTGGAGCGATGCAGCATTTTGGGGCAGCCTGGAACTCGGCCGCTGCTGGTCGCCTAAGCTTGCTCAGGTTGCAGACATTTACACCTCACTGTACACTACTCGCCATCCACTATTACACACCCTCACGGCCTGCTCAAGCCTTGGTGCAAAGTTAGCTTCGGATATTGGTAAGTACTATGTGTTTCTAGCTTTCTCCCGTATAGTTTATTGTGATAGGAAATTCCACGCAGCCGTATTGAAGCCCGACCTACGTCTGTTCGTTGAAACTCCGCTGATGGGCCCCGGAGGATTGAACTTTGTGGGAGCAGCCGTAGGCCGTAACAATATATATATATATATATATATATATATATATATATATATATATATATATATATAAAACAAAAAATAGTACAAAAGGTTTGTAACATCTGCATAAAAAAATCTACCGTTTGCAACTGATATTTGATGTCAACTAAACTTAATCAAGTCTAAACAAGTAAAAAAGCATAAAAATAATTTTTTACACATGGCTGATGGCACAATAGGCGTGTCATCAAGTTCTATGGCGCTTTCTTCTAGCTGTGGCGCGAAATATTTGATCGCCGCCACAGCTAGAAAGTGTTCGAAAATAGGTGTCGCAATGAATCGGTTAACTGAAAACGAGGCATTCCATCTTAGTCCTCAGGGGTGACAACGCGCGTTGATTCTTAATAAATGTGCATGTCTATGGGCCACAGCATCCACTTACCATCAGGTTGACTGAGTGCTCGTTTGTACCTTATTCTAAAAAAAAAATCTGAACACAGCTGTGCGTGTGTACTGCTACTTGGCAGCAAAAACATGTCATGTACATTTATATAAAAAAATATATGAATTTTTCTGGCCTACACCTGCTTAATGTCTATGGATCAAAGGGTAAAAAAAAAACAACAACAAAATATAGTATGGACATACTTTATTGAGTGATCATAGTTTTAATTTAATAAATAAATTGATAAAGTCACTTTATAGCTTGTAGAGATTTAAAGAAAATCACATTGATTCTCAATGAATATAATTAATACATTTAAACCTATCTAATTTCATTGCACATTTATCTATTGGCTCTCTTACCTTTCTTAGATTGAGTGAAGCTAGTCTGAGGGAGGGGTACAGAGTGACCTGTCTTTTTTAAGTGCTCAAATAATTTATTTTTTGAAGGAAAATCTGTTTGACACACAGCACATCTAAGATTTAAGGCCGTGCTTGAATCTTCAGTTTCACTAGTTTTAGTTCTTACTGGTTTTCTGTCTGCTAACTTTTTTGGCTTAATATTCCTTTGCATTTTGGGTAGAGCTGGCCTATCCCTTGGTAGAGCTGCTTCACCTAATGCATCATCAGTGGGTGTTGTGCTTGATACCTCGTACAAATTTTCTGTTGAAGTTTGTGATTGAGATCCTTTCTTGAGGTTTGCTTCTTTCTTTGCCTGTATTTGACTTTTAAGCATGTTAAATTTTTTTGCCTTCCTGCTTCTAGATGGACCCTCTATTTCGTTGAAGCTCATTTCATCATGACTATCATTTCCTTCACTTTCAGGCATTGGAATGAATGACTTCTTTTTATTTTTCTTTTTCTTGTGACTTTTAGGTAAAGCCTGTAATTTTTTATATTGTTAATAAATATTAAAATACGTATATAACATCAAATTCTTATATTTTGAAATTAATATTAAACGAAAACTAATTGAAAGAAGTTTTTGACTCCATTTTAACAATTCTGCCAACTCATTAAAACAGTGGTTGCCGACCCATCTGCCAAATGTAATAACTATGGCAAGTATCCATGAGGCTATCATTAGGGAGGCCTATGTTCAGCAGTGGATTTAGATAGGCTGTAATGATGATGTCCCCACACGAGGGGCAAATATAGCCTTGGATATACTTGGCGACAAAAGGAGCGGCATGTTGGGCAAAATGTCGCTCAACAACTACGTGCAACGTCCTGAGACATATGTCGCGGAAAATTTTGCAGGCCTCACTAGTCAGTGCTTATAGAAATGTCGAACGAGGAGGTTGTGGTGATTAGGGCTGCGTACATAGTACTTATTTCGGGAGTGAAACGAAGCGAAAGAGAAGGTTGTAGATGCGGAATTTCTTACTACAACGAGATGAAAGAAGAATTAATATTTTAAGCGATCTCAGAATCAGAAGACAAACGAGCACACAGTCCATCTGATGGTAAGTGATTGCTGTGGCTCATAGACATCTACATCTATCATCGATTACAAATCTAAATGCAGATGCGTTGTCATCCATGAGGACTAAGATGGAATGCCTCTTTTCCAGTAAAAAGGGTCATTCCCCGGTCGAGCCGACCCATTCGTGCTACAACTATACTACTAATATTATAGCTGCAGCATGGCTCTACCACGTTAAACACGATATCATAGCCAAACACAATACAATAGGTACTACGAAACGCTGTTTGCCCCCATATCAGACTTGCCATTGCATTAAGATACTTGTCGACTGCAGATTATTATGCTTCCTTGTCGTACACTTTGTCGCGTGTCGAAACAATTGATCGGCAGAATAGTACCACAAGTTTGTGGTTTGAAGTATCCCCCACAACTAAACATGGCTCTAGTAAAGCTAACGAAGTAAAAGCACGGTTTCGGGGACACGCTCGCTCTCGGAACGGGAACAAGCAACATGCCCCGCGTCACGTAAATTTTTGCGGGCTTGTTGCGGGTCACTGTGCAACGCTGCATCTTCACGTAGATTGAGTGTTCCGTCTCCTAGTGTATCCGGGGCTTATAGCCTATTACCACGTGATTTAAGAAACCGATCAGAGGCAAAGCTTCAACCGCGCTATGATAGGTACACTATTACAAGTTTAAGGCGCGTGTGTGCGTGATCACTGGCGGCTCGTCACGTACAAAGAGAAACTGCTTTAAACTGGCTCGGCCAGTGCTCAAACTTAGGATATAGACGGCGCGCATCGCGCTTGTTTTCGTTTCACATTTTATTTATAAATAACAAATGAGTAAAGAATAAGTGTCATGTAAAATATAAAAAAAATGTAAATAATGTTTACTTTACTGTGTGTATGACCAATAATAGTGTAAATATAAACAATTAATAATAATTATTAATAGTATATGCAATAAGATTGTAACTTGTAAAAAGCAAAAGTTAATAAAATTAACTCAAATACCACTAGGTAATTAGTACTAGATTATTATTTATTATTTTTAATGTGATAGATAGATATCTCATACATAAATGTCCATCCATCTGTCCATCCTTTGGCTACGCGTAGATAGCGACGACCATCCGCGCGTCTACGGGGCCTCTATAGGTCCCATAGCCGTAATGCCGAAACAGACCGACTCATCGACCACGTACAAATGGCTACAGATTCCTTGCTACAACAGGTCCCATCCACAGAGATCGTGATCCTTTGCGATTTGAACGCCCACCACGCCGAATGGCTCGGTTCACGTTTAACCGATCATGCGGAGAGATCTGTTTAAAACTTTGCCTTGGCATATGGTCTGACACAACTGGTTACTTCGCCTACGCGGATTCCAGATGTGGAGGATCATACACTTTCCCTGTTGGACCTTCTGCTGACCTTTCATCCGGACGGATATCAGGTTTCCGTCGATGCCCCTCTCGGCTCTTCGGACCATTGTCTGATCCGGAGTGTGATACCACTCCCCTCGCGGTTGCGTTCTGCAGGTTGCCGCCTTGTTTGGCATTACAGGTCGGCGGATTGGGACGGAACGCGGTCTTTCTTTGCATCCTACCCATGGGGGCGGGTTTGCTTCTCGCCAAATGATCCCAGCGCTGCTGCTGACTCTTTCACTGATGTGGTGCTACTGGGAATGGAACTATTTATTCCATCATCTGTGGTACCCATCGGAGGCAGATCTCAGCCTTGGTTTGGTCGCTCCTGTAAGACTGCATTACGCAGTAAGCAGGAGTGTTCAAGTCAAGCCTGGGCTGCGGCTTCGGCGACTCGGGATGTAAACACCAGCATACTTAAAAAGAAGTATAACTTCGCCTCCAGGTCCTTGAAAAGAGTTATTGCCAAGACAAAGTCAGAGCACATAGGCAGAATTGGCGAGAAACTAGTTCACCTTCTTTCTGGTCTCTCGTCAAGGCTGTCCAAGGGAATTTCTGTAAGCCATCACTACCATCTCTGCATAGGAAGGACGACTCACTGGCCCAAGCCGCAAAAGACAAAGCCGATCTTTTAGGCTCCCTTTTTGCGTCCAACTCGACTCTTGATGACGGGGGAAAACGCCGCCGACCATCCCGCGGTGTGAGTGTTCCATGCCGGATGTGCGGTTCTCACAGCGCTCGGTTCGCAAAGTACTCCTCTCCCTGGACATCCAGAAGTCGAGTGGGCCTGACGGAATCCCCACAATAGTGCTGAGGATGTGTGCTCTGGAGTTGGCACCGGTCCTAACGCGTCTTTTCCGGTACTCCTACTCGCTAGGCGTAGTCCCGAAATCATGGAAGACAGCTTTTGTCCACCCGATCCCTAAAAAAGGCGGCCGCTCAGACCCGTCCAACTACAGGCCTATCGCCATCACCTCCTTGTTCTCCAAAATAATGGAATCCATTATTAACTGCCAGCTCATGCGGTACCTTGAGGATCACCAGCTGATTAGTGACCGCCAATACGGTTTTCGTCGGGGTCGATCAGTGGGTGATCTTCTGGTCTACCTGACTCATAGATAGGCGGAGGCAGTAGAGTCCAAGGGGGAGGCGTTGGCCGTTAATTTGGACATTGCGAAGGCTTTCGATCGGGTTTGGCACAAAGCGCTTCTTCACATGGAAGAGAAGGCCAAATTGGCCTCTAAAAAGCTTGGTGTGCTCAGCAGAGCGGGACAGTATTTCGTGCCGGCACACCGCCTGCAACTTTACAAGGCGCTGATTCGGCCTCACATGGAATACTGTTCCCATCTCTGGGCAGAGGCTCCGCAGTGCCAGCTCCTTTCACTTGACCGCATCCAGCGCAGAGCGGCTCGAATCGTCGGCGACCAAGTCCTTTCCGATCGGATCGATTCATTGGCACTGCGAAGAGATGTTGCATCCCTTTGCATTTTCTTTCGCATTTACCTCGGGGAGTGCTCTGAGGAATTGTTCGGATTAATCCCAGCCGCCAAATTTCACGAACGCACATCGCGGCAGAACTTCTGATACCATCCACACCATCTGGATGATTGGCGGTCCACCATTGTGCGATTTAGAAGATATTTTCTTCCTCGCACGACTTCCTTGTGGAATCGAATACCATCAGCGATTTTTCCGGACCAATACGACTTAGGTACCTTCAAGAAAAGAGCCTACTCCTTTTTAAAAGGCCGGCAACGCATCTGCAATTCCCCTGGTTCCCTTGGTGTTGCAGTTGTTCATGGGCGGCGGTAGTCACTTATCACCAGGTGAGCCGCATGCTCGTTTGCCCCCTCTCCTATAAAAAAAATACTGATAAATATTTTGTTTAGTATGTCGGTGCGTATAAGAAGTGCCGGTTGAATCGAGTGTGCGAGATGTTGCGTCACTCTAGCGGAGCGTTTATCGATGGTGGCGAGGTATAGTTCCGGCGTCTAACTTCGCAAGATTCGTTAGATGCAGAAGTTATTTCTTAGATCTCTTTGGTTATCAAGCGGGGCGCGGGCAATGAGGTAGCATCATTCCAAGCGCACGATTGGTTGGCCAGTCGACCCTTGCCTCCCGCTACGTGTCCAAGTTCCGTTCGCTCCCGAGTATACTTACGTGCACTAAATTGTACCGCTTGTTTTTGTTGAGGTTTTGTTACTTGTTATTTTTGTTGAGTTTTTTTGTTACTTGTTATTATTATTATAATTTATATTATTGTTTTGTTTGAATATTTAATTTTAACTGTAATGCCACGAACAAATACTAATGTACGTGCGGGTAATATGGTCATCCGGTTAATATGGTCACATTCTTATAACTCAAAAACTACAGCCTAATTTGCATAGATGGCTTTGTGATACGATAGCTCTTCATCAGTCATTCAAATAATAAAGGGTCAAAAGGCCGGCGCTTTATCGACACCATTTTGACACTTGATATTATAGTAAGTACGTGAGGGTTATATGGTCACCTTAAGCTTTATCGCCCTATAAAACCAAAATTATGAGAAGAACAGAGACAAAAACACAAAGTAGTATAGTATAACTAATATATTAGGAAAAAAAATAGCAATCATGCTTTGGAAATAATTAGAAACACTTCGAAAAATCTACATAAAAAACTAACCACACTACACAATACAAAAATCGACTAAAATATTTACAATAATATCAACTGTCAAAATGGCGTCGATAAAGCAGCGCCTCTTTGACCCTTTATTTGATACACTGATCAAGAGCTATCGTATCACGAACGACGCTGTAGTTTTTGAGATGAAGTGACCATATTACCCTCACGTACTATAGTTCGTTTTTTTAAGTTGATTTTTCGAAGTGATGCTAATTATTGGCAAGGCTTGTTTGTTATTTTTTTCTATATTAGTTATAGTATACGACATTGTGTATTTGTCTCAGTCCTCCTCCTAGTTTTAGTTTTATAAGGCAGCAAAGCTTAAGGTGACCATACCATACCCTCACGTACCTTATTTTACGTAAGCATGTCAGAAAAATGGTTTATGATGTCTACTGTTATATGAAAAAGCAAGCCAAAACTGAGAAAGAGACAGTAAAACGGAATGCAGAGGCTTCCAAAACCTCAGAAAGGACAGTTAGACGCATAGTCAAAGAAGGTAGAAACTGAACTTCTCACCGTTTTAAGGACACCGGGAAAAAAGGCACACATAAAACTGATCACAGAGATCGATACTTGTGATCAGTCTGTAATAAGAACCTTTGTACACATCACATTACAAATAAAGAGCTACCTACAGTAGAATAGCTTCGAAGAAAATTAAACGATATTAATTTTAATGGCTCTGAGCACAGTCTGCACAGAATTTTAAATAACTTAGTTCCGGGGAAAAAAGCAGAAAATAATAGAAAAATATTAATAGAAAATTAATAAAATACAGGCGAGAAGGAAGACCTATCATATACATCATATACAGAGGTCTCCCCGCCTACCGCGGATCTGTTAACACGTACAGTCTGTGTTTCTCTAAACAAAAATCCAATTAAATAGTTCGTATGGCGTTTTTCTTATTAAAATTAGTGTTAATACAAAGTTAAAGTTAACTCCCATAAACGGACGGTAAAAAACACAACGAAAAGTGCTAAATCAAATGTGTGCATTCGCTTACAAATTTAAATAAAAACTTGATTTTTATTTAAATTTGTAAGCGAATGCACATGCGAATGAAAAATTTATTACACGATGAAATGGACAGAGTACAAAAAGCTATCGGTAGTCTTACAAATGCCATTAAAGACCAAAACAGCCGGATTGAGCAACTGGAAGCTAGAGTTTCGATATTGGAGAGTAAGTCGGAAACCAAGCCTGCCCAAACCCATCCAATTGAGGGCATCGTAATGCAGCTGCAGGCTGATATTGCGGAAAGAGACCAAACCTTACTCTCTAACGACCTAGAAATAGCTGGCTGTCCAGAAACACCCAATGAAAACTGCACCCACATTATTATGACGGTCGCTAAGAAAATTGGTATGGAGTAGGACGATAAAGACGTCGTATCAGCAGAACGCGTGGGCCCACTTCGTCCGGAGAAACAGGACAGCACAACACCGCGCCCAAGACCTATAGCCGTGCGCCTCGCACGCCGTGATACACGGAACGGCCTGCTTCAAGCTGCGCGCTCCAGACGTAATCTCAACAGCGATGGCCTCGAATTACCTGGATCCACCAAACTGTTATATCTTAATGAACGCTTGACAAGATTTAACCGTCAACTTTTTCAAAAAGCACGCTCCCATGCCCGCGAAGTACAATTCAAATATGTATGGGTACGGGAGGGAAAGATATTTGTGCGCAAGGAACAAGGGAAACCGCGGATTCGGATTAGAAATGAAATGGACTTATCAAAGGTTTTTAACTATAATGACAGCTGATATCTTTCCATCCCATACACACCAACTAACTATTTTTTATGTCTTTTGGTATCGTGCAAAGAATGTATTTAATCGTTTCTTTTAAATTTACTTCCTGAAATCTGTAATGGAGACTATTTCTACACAAACAACTAGCACATCAATCACACTTTCTGACACACCGTACACAACCCACTTATTCATCACAAGTTTTATATTACTTTAAATATTTATTATTATCATATCAAGTTATTATATCCTAAATGGTTAGTATTAAAAATAAATATCTAAGAATAGGTCTATTAAACGCCAGATCTCTGAATACTGGGCAAGATGAATTTCTTGTGGCTGTCCGTAATCACACTCCTGATATATTAGTTATAAATAAAACGTGGTTAAAAGATGGAGAAGATGAATTTGCGCCTATAATACCAAATTATAATTTTGTGCATAGACAACAAAAAAAGTGAGGAGGTGTAGGCTTCTATATTAAGCAGGAAATAAATACTAAAGTACGGCAACACCCAGCGTCGTCTCTAGAGCAGATGTGGCTAGAAATTCAACTCCCAGGAGCTTCAATGGCCCTTGGCACGGCCTACAGACCTAATAGTGTTGGTGTTACAGAAACACTGGACGCTCTGATTGACTCCCTGAATTCAATGGCACAATGCGATTACACTTGCATACTTGGCGATTTTAACGTAGATATGACTAACAAACATTGCAACAGAGCAAAAGATATAATGCAATTCTGCTATCAACATAACCTTGAACAACTCGTCAAAGAACCAACGAGAGTCACTGATCAGACTGAAACTATTTTAGATCTCGTCATGACTAACACTCCCTCAAGATGCAAAAACATTAAACTTATACACAATCGTTGTCTTAGTGATCATGCATCGGTGCTGTTAGATTTGTACATAAGGAAACCAAAATTTTATAAACAAGTAAAATAACAGAGATTACTAAGAAATATTGTACGTGTTTTTATAGTTTTTCCTTAATGTCCTATATGTATTGATATTAAAACTAGCCAGATGCAAACACTACAACCAAAGAGATTTTTCTTCAATTTTATACAAACAAAATACGAAGAAATTTTTCCCCCAAACTATGGTATGATCAAACTGTAATTGTCTATACTGAATGTATAGTGCGTTACGCAGCCTTATTAATGGTAATGATTAATTGCGTAAGCAAGAGAGCAAGTTGAACATCCGCTCTCACACTTTTACAATTTTAATAATAAATCTTTCCTGATGTTTTTTCTATATCAGAAGTGGGATCTCATGTTGTAATACCTACAAATATTATCCAATGTCAACTCTACCAAAATAGGTAAAAATTTTGGAATATTCTGTTTATCCACCCTGAGATGAATACTACCTTATTGCGCTAATAATAATAAAAAAACTTATTACATAATTTTATCTTAGGGCGGCTGTTTTAGGGTGGATAAACAGAGAAACTTAAAATTTTGAATGTTCCTTATAAGCTTATCCTCGGGTCGGTTTCTTATTTCATGTGCTATTACTTATGCGAGTTGGCAGAAGTGAGCTTTAAAAATTATTGCTCACCAAATATATTATGAACGACACAAGACATATTACTACAATTTTTGTAATTTATTTTTGTCATAAATGATAAATTCTAGTTTATCACATACCTGAATTTTATCGGAATCATCACTCAATGTTTCTCTTACATCATTGTCTTCAATATCTGATGTTAAATTATCGGCATGTTCTCCTTCTTCTTCTGTTTGTCCATTAACTTTTTCACTACCTTGCTGTTCATTGCTAGGTCCATTATCCACATCATCATTATCAACTGAATCTGATATATCAATATCATTTTCTAATGTCATGTTAGCTACATTTTCTTTGTGTTTTTTACTATTTTCATGATTTTCAAACGAATTGACATTTTTAAATAGTTTGTTACAGGCTGAACAATATAGATTCTTCATGGTTGTTTTAGTTTTCGATAAAGATTTTCCAGCTGCTTTAGACTTTTCACTGACCTAGAAAAAATGAAAAAAAAAAATTACTTATGAAATATTTTAAATTATTTTAAATTTTGAGCACTAGTAATTAAATATTTTGATCCTTTAAGTTAGTTTATAATAACTTAATAATTCTAAATTAAACACTTTTGTTTAAACTTGTTAAGCTTTGTTTATCTCATCATTCTTTCAAATTTTCACAGGTTTTGGTCACAAAAATTTAAAATACATTTCGACCTTAGTGTATTAAAATGTTAAAAGAAGCTTTATAGAAAATGTAAAAGGCATTTACATCTTCAGTCTTGGAGCTCTCTTCGTTGCTACTTTCCATTCCGCCTTCACTAATAGTATCATCATCAGAGGACAAGCCAAACTCCTCAGCCAAAAGAGATTCAATTTCACTCAGTTTCTTTTGATAATCCTCACTTTGCAAGAATGAGCTCTCCCCTTCCTTTTTCTTTGCCTCTTCTATTTCTTTTTGCCTTTGAAGTATCCTTTCTCTTCTTACTTGTTCTGCCTGAAAAGTATTTTTGATCGCTTTACACTTATTTTCAGTTATGACAATATATGTATATACAATATATTAGTAAGCTATTTAAGTGGTAGGAAAACTTTTTTTTTCGGGAGTCCATCTGGATATGTTTTGTACGTGGTAGAGCCAAACGGCAGCTATATTTATAATATAGTTGTAGCACGAATGGGTCGGCTCAACCGGGGAAGGACCACGCTCTCACAGAATACCAGCGTAAAATAGCAGCTTAATGTTGCTGTGTTTCGTATGGTGAGTGTAGAGAACCGGAAACCCTTTTTACTGGAAAAGAGGCATTCCATCTTAGTCCTCAAGGCTGACAATGCATCTGCATTTTGATTCGCAAACGAGGATAGATGTAGATGTCTATGGGCCACAGCAACCACTTACCATCAGGTGGACTGTGTGCTCGTTTGTCACCCTATTTCTATTAAAAAAAAATGTACTGTGACCATTCTGTTAGGCAAGTACATTGCCTTCTTTGATTCAAGTTGTTGGTGCCCATATGGGCTTCAGTAATCACTCACCATCAGGTGGATTGAGGTTGCTTGTCACTTCAATTTAAAGAAAAACTAGTCATCTACATAATTCTTAATTACCTTCTTCTTGTTTTCCTCTGCTTTTTCTTGCAGTAGTTTTGTATGTTCTATTACCCTTTTGTCTTTCCTGCGAACAAAACTCACAAGTCTCCTAATTTCTTCGTTTCTCTCTTTTCTAGCCTTTTGCCTGATTTTGTTATTTTCTTTCTCCATTAATTTGATAACTCTTCTGTTATCGCCTTGCGATATTTCATATTGGTCTAACCATACAAAGCCTACAAACATAAATAGCAAACAATTTTTAAATTATTGGAACAAAGTTCCTTATCCGGACGGTACGAATTTAGCGGATAGGGCTAGGTGAGAAAAAGTATAAGATTTTACCGTCACGACCCCTTTTGACGTAGTGTAGAAGCCTTGGCGGACTATAATATCTTGCCATGACAGAAATATTATTTTATTTTAAATGACGCTTCATTTTAATAGACGCTAGTAATTCATTTATTTGTATTTGTTAATCAATAACGTTTATCAATAATAATATACTACGAAAGGAACTTCGTTCCAACCCAGTGTTCCACGACACTCACATGTTTTTATGTAATTAAAAACAAAATTTATTAATTTATCACAGGACCAGTAGAAGAAATTAAGAGGATATTTGAGCTGGAAGATTTTGAAGAATAGGTTTTGAATTGTCTATTGCTATTGCTCTGTGACCGAACGACCGCGCTAGACAACCGAGAGAGACAATTGCAGCTCGGACTGATTATAACAATGAAAATTTGACAAATTCATCATCCTATAATTCCCTATTTCCACCAACCGATTTAATTTTTTTGCAAAAGCAATAGAAAGAGGATTGTGTCTAATAAAATGAAGTTTTTTTAAAAATTCAAAGATTCAGCAACTTGTAGAGTTTTAGTCTTTTAGTTTCAATATTAAATCAATTATCATAGGACTGTTCCTCATTTAGGTACTACTAATAAAGGTTCCACTCTTCCTAATGGTTCGGTTCTGGTCAAATTAAGACATTTATATACTTTCAAGTTATCATATTACTTCGATAATAATAAAGAATATTTTTTTATAACTGCTTGAATTTCTTTTTTACTCAAAGACTCAGAAGAAATAATCATTGTCTGACTGTTACTGTATAAAATGAAACAAATTACAAATTGTTATAATGCTTAATACCTGTAAAATAAAGGTGTCTAACAGTTCTTATTTGGGTTTCGGTTTTAATTCTGGTTCTAGTATTAGAACTGTTAAATATTGTTTCGAAATACTTTAATGGTATTTTAAAACCTTTTACAATCCCTTCTGACTTACTTTGTAGTACATAATTTAAAATTAAAAATTTTGTACAACCGACTCAATATAAATTAATAAGAATGACTCTAAAACTATTGCTCATACCTTGATCAAATTTATACATTATATGGGACCACATGTGAAGCACCAGCTTTCAAATAAAAAAAGAATCATCAAAATCGGTCCACCAAGTAAAAAGTTATGAGGTAACACACATAAAAAAAACACAGTCGAATTAAGTACCGTCTCCTTTTTGAAGTCTGTAGAAAATATATATACCATTCAGAATTATATCACAAACCAAATTTCAAGAACTTACTTTTGTTTGTAGAAAATGCCATCCAATATGCATAAAACTCATGCACCTCTTCATAAGGAGTGCTGGAATTACCAAATTTCGGAATTTTGGCAACATCTTCTGGGTCATCAAGGAAGTCTGTTTCTTCAGCTGCTAGTTTAGAAAATACCTGGAAGGTTTTAAAGATATTAGCAGTACTTTTTTTACAATTATCTAATTTAACATTGTCTTCACAGCTATAATTTCCTTAGTAGAAAAGTGATATAATTATGATAAATCACGAATTTATCAATATTTTTCATGGTCTCAGTATAATATGTATAGTCAATATTGTTGTATGTACATAATATACAATATAAACACATGAACAGATAAAAAGACAAACAAAATTAGACATAAGTAAAACTTTAATGTAAATCATTGTTATAAAAAAAAAAACTTCCTTTTGTTCTATAAATAATAGTTTACTTAAACACATAGCATTATACTTAGCATTAGCATAGCATTTTCTCTTGTATCATGAAGTTTTACATAAATAAATTGCATAAAGACAAATCAAAACCTTTATATTCATAATAATTATCTGTTGCCTATACAAATATTTTTTCATGTGGTATTTGAATCTGCTGCAACTAAATCTAAATGCTCAGCCTCTGTGCTGACTTGTCTAAACTAAATAACTAAATTTGACAGCTCCGTGGCTTAGCAATGAGTTGTTGCGCTGGGGGCCGCGGGTTCGAATCCCGCACGGAACAAGAATTTGTATGGCCTACAAATAATTGTTCTGGGTCTGGATGTTTGTCCTCGTGAAATCTATGTTTGTAAACTGCCTCCATGATACAGGAGAAAATCCTAGTGTGGGGGTAACGTTTAAAAAAAAAAGATTAATGATCGCCATTCACCATAAAATACATAAGTGTCCAGCAGTGGATTGACTGTTTATGGGCTAAAGAAGAAATTATAATTCTGATTACCTCAGAATAAACTCCATAGAAGCCTTGTGGATCGTCACCAAAGCCTTTGTAGCAGGACGGAGTAAAGTATGGGTAAACATCAAGACTGTCATCATTGTATGAACTTCCAGCTCCTCTCAATAGCTGCTCTCTATGATTATCATACCTTGAAAGAAATTAAAAAAAATATTAGTAATGAATTATTAAAAAAAGCAAAGCGTGCACTGCTTTATCTCAGACTCAAGGGTATAGAGAACAAGTATAATTACAGGATGAGGCATATATATGTATTTCCTAATGGTGGATCGCAGACTACAATATCAATATATCGTGAGTTTGAATCCGCCATTCGACTACTGTCTTGTACCACTACTCTGAACACAAGCATTTTAAGTTACCTAGAGTGGTTAACGAGAATATTAGTAATGTTATTAATAGCATTGCTAGTATTTTAATTTGATTTTACTGAAAATCAACTTGATTAATAGTTTCAGATTTTTAAAATAAGTTTTAGTGGCTGCAAATTTAATTTTGTTAGAGTGGTCACATATTCTTTAGCTTCTTTACAATTTTTCGTTTACTCTTTCTTCCTTTCTTTCCCTTTCCCGCAATATCTTAAGGTAATATTTTAGATTAACAATCATCAGCATCTTATGGAAACATTCCTGAATAAACAAGTACAAGTACTTTATAATATTTTAGATTTATCTGCAATAAATGCCTGGGCGCTGTACCAAGTAATAAACAACAAAAAATATGTATAAGAGACTTTATTCGGCGATTGGCTGTCGAACTGAGTAATATTTTAGAAGAATTCACTCCTGAGACCTTACTGCACGTTTAATAGCCTCAGAAATGTCAGCAAACACATTTTAAAAATAAAGTGTGGGACTTGTGCAAAAAAGCACTATGTCGCAGATGCAATCAATTAAAAATTTTCATATGTCATAACTGTATTTTTTTTATTTAACACATATTTACACTAGAAACCAAAATTCTTTTGCCTAATTAGAGACTAATAAACAGAGATGGGTCAAATGACCCATAACCGCCTCTGTAGGTTAGCTGTTTTTCCCGTCTTGTTAGTGTTAACCTTAATGACTTCTCACTCACAATACATTAAATTAAACTAATTTTACAGATTTCATAGCATTAATTTTGACTTCTTACTTCATGACGTTTCAGGTGCTTTACAGCACTCATGGGCACGGGGTTTGATCTATGCAGATTAATATTCTAAAACTGAAGGTACTCAGTTGGGATGTCCAACACCTCAGACCCGCCCCCCCCCCGTGACCATGGGTGCTGTAAGGCACCTGAAACATCGGGAGTTAAAGTCAAAATTAAATGTGATAAAATCTGTAAAATTAGTTTCATTCATTAACCTTGTCTATGAATTAGTGCCTCCAATATAATAAAAATTGTAGTGTAAATTGTCTAGTGATAGATATGGGTGATTATTGTTTTGTTTAGCCTTGGTTTCAATTAATCATCATTTATAAGCTCACTTATAACAAATAACATGGTGTGTAATAAATATGTAATCTCAAAGTATTATTCTATCTAAGTGTATGGTATAACTGCTGTGGTAATTAAAGAAATTAATAAAATTGTAATCATCTCTAAAAATTGTTATTTAATATTTTCTAAAAAGCTACTAATAAAAAGTAAATTAATAATATATCAAATAATTATTCACTTTCTTTATCAGCTTCATACAATTTATATTGGCTTTCCCAAAAATGTTGTATTAAAGGAGACCTCTTGAAGGATTCATTATTTTATATCATATAATAACTGTCCTATAAAGTATGACTTAAAATAAAAACTAGCCAAGTATGTGTCTGGTTACACACAATGTAAGAGGTAGGGTTCCATAGTTGCCCACCACAATACGTGGGCTTCCTTGATAATGAGCATAATAAGTGAGTTCTCGGTTTGACCTCTATAACAACTAAAAATGGGCCCAAATAAGAAAATCGTACCTGAAGGACTTATTTTCAAGTCAGCCTTATAGGGTGTGGTATTTAAAAAAGATTAAAAGACTTCAATTTTGATAATAATACCCTATCTATCCCACGAATGAAAAAGTAAAGCTAATAGTAGTATTGCATGTAAGTTGTTTTCTTCACAAATTTTTTATTTTTAACGATTTAAATTAACGTTACAAAGTTATTAATGCAGCTAGTTTTAGGTCACTTTCTATGGAGTTGTAAAAAATCATCCTCGATTTACTTGTATGGAAAGTACCCAAAATAAAAATGTTTTTAAGATTTTATTTTAGAGTTTTCTAGGCATGATTAATATCTATAACTATGCCAAATTACAGATTTGTAGCACCTGGGGTCTCTGAGCAAAACGGTGGACGGACGAATGGACGGACATGGCGAAAACTACAAGGGTTCCTTGTGGTGTAAGTACGGAACCCTAAAAATGAATGTGCCAACTATGTTACTTAGCTTGTTGTAAAAGGTGACTTAAGGGATATTAGGTTTGTGATAGTGTGGGTGATGGGCTAGTAATCTATCACTAATTTTACCAATTTCTATCTAAACCCATACTTGCACCACATTAAGTCATTAATATGGTGCAAGTAGCTCACTGGTATTTAGACTCTGCTTACCCCTTGGGGATAACACATGTGGCTTTATGTTAACTATATTACTCTATAATAACAGTTTATGGGTTCTTTTACCACATTTTATCCAATCCAAATTAAATATTTTTAAAAACATATTGTGCAAGTATTTCATACTGCAGATACTTATGTATAAGTAATTAAAAAACAATTTAAATCATCTTAACATTATATACTCTACATATATTATTTCTATTAGTCTTATTTATATTTGCAATTAGCTATTTCCCGTGACTTCGCCCATGTGTAATTTAGGGTTTTAATTATTTTATGAGGAAAACTAATTCTTTTTCTAAAATAAAAGTAGCCTAAGTTACTTCTTATGACATCAGCTATCTGCCAGTGAAAGTCCCGTCAAAATCGATCCAGCCGTTTCGGAGATTAGCCGGAACAAACAGACAGACAAACTTTTTTTTACATTTTAAATTGTATTTTTTGTTAATAGTACCATATATAATTTCATATGCATTGAGTAAAATGCTGTAATTTTGACATTACAAACAGACACTTCAATTTTATTTATTTGTATAGATATGATATGATTTCCCAGTTTACAAAGCAGTAAAAATTGGCACAATAATTAGGTTAACACATTTTTATATAACCATTAATTTCTGGTTAGTCTACCTAAGTTAGAGCTAAACTTACCAGGCTCTTTCTTGCGGATCAGAGAGCACTTCGTAAGCATTTTGAACTAGCTGAAATTGTTCCTTGGCTTCTTGTAAGTTGTCTAAGTTTTTATCAGGATGCCATTGCAGTGCAAGCCGGCGATATGCTTTCTTTATTTCGGAAGAGCTCGCTTCCTTCGATACACAAAGTACATCATAGTGGCACTTCATATTGCAATCATTATGTGTCTACGTTTATGAATTTCAATTTTAATAAATAAAGATAAAATGTTTTTATTGTATACTGCTAACCTGACACTATGTGATGTTAAAGCTATTAAATGCTTAAAAAAGGGAAAATGCACTTTATATTTGGTAGCTAAAACTAAACTATTTTGTGTACTTAGAAATATTGCCAATCAATTTAGATATAAAAATAATTTTGCTAAAACGATCGACATCGTCCAATATCAAGATTCAACAAATTTAAGCAAAACTGACAGCTGACACCCCATGCCAGGTGATTCAACTTTGTATGAAATCCACAGACTAACTAGATGAAATCTGAGAAATTTGCACACAATCATAATTTTGTCTATGTTAGGTTGGGTGCATAAAAATAAAGCGATAAAAAGATATCGCTGCTTCTTTCCTTCGTGTTGCTTCAGATTGCCATTTTAACAATTAAATTCAAATATACATAGAGTCTGGTAAACGAAAGTAGGGACTAAAAAAGTGTGGCTAATTCATCAATCGGTAAACAAATCATTCAATCTTTGCCTAGTAACCCTACCTAATAACCTGACTTGATACTTTAGAGTTGTTTTTGTGTTTTTTTTTTATATTCTACTAAGCCAGCGCTTATCTACGATTCCACCTGATGGTAAGTGGTGATGTAGCCTAAGATGGTGAAGCGCACTGACTTAACAAAAGCCTATTCATTCTTGCCTTGAAGACACCCACACTGCATTCGAATGAAAACACAGTTGCTGGAAACTTATTCCACTCCTTTGCTGTACGCATGTTGAACGACGTGGCGAACTGTTTGGTTCAAATGCGTGGTAAGTCAACAACGAAAGGGTGGAGAGTGGCCGAAGGTCTGGTTGTCCGATGGTGGAAGGGAGAGGGGGGAATTAAATTATGCAATTACTGCGCTCTCACAAGATTGGCATTGCCCCATTCGGAGACTGCCTGTAGTGTGAGATTCACACGCTCTACTAAAAAAACAATATTTGTACACTACTACTTGACAGGACAGGTCTAAAAATGGAAACCTCCGGTATCTGCTGTATGTAAAGTCGTATTTTTAATCAGACGAAGTAAATTGAAGTTTCGAGATGTAAAATCATGTCTACCCATTATGATCCAAACCAAAGAAACATTTCGTGCTGACATTTCGAAAATCAGTTTACTTCGTTGGAATAAAAATATGACTAGGTATTATGTGATATTATCTGAATAAAAAAAACAATATTCTATAATAAATTTGGTTTATTCACTACCATAATCGAAATTTGAATCTAAGATTTCCATGTGGAAAGGTTCATTTAACTCACTGGAATCACTATCTCCAACATGAATAATAAAACTTTCTGAATTATCTTCTGTTATTCTATTCCTTTCTTTATATTTATTTTCAATGTGATTTACATGATTAGTCACTTTCTTCCATTCCTGAGGAGTTATGCTTTCAAATACTCTTTAATAAGTTTCTCTAACTTCACAACAGGCGGGGCAATATTTTAACCATAGACTTAGAATATACTGTCGTATAGACCAACATTGTGTGCAAGGGAGAAGAAAATTCCTTATGGCAAAATTGCAAGATAGAAAAGGATACCAAACCACTCTGTAATCGATTTTGAGTGACAGGTCGGCACAAGTCGGCACCATGGAGTATAGAGTAGAAGGAGAACCATCTCATATGGGGGACAAGTTTAAAAAAGTGTCCAATTGTATACTGAAGATAGAGGAATGCTTATAACTAATTGATAGACCTGCCCACACAACAAGAAAATAAATCCGCGATTTGCATTCTAAAATGTAATTTTATTTTGGTGTTTGTCAAACAGATTCCCCCCGGATTCTAATATAGAATAAATGGTTAAGGTTAATTGAACGCGTTGGTTGGAATCCAAAAAAGAACTCAACAATTTGCAGTAAACTTTTTTGAGAATTATTTATAAAAGAAAAAGTAGAATAAAAACAATTTTATTAAAAGGAGTTATTTCTACATTATTTGTACGAGTAAGTATAATATTGTTAATGTAATACTTCAAAAATTTTATTTTCAAAACTTAAGATAAAAATAGCGACAGATTTTTATACATTATAAAACTGTAATACATTAAAGTTAAAAAATCTTGAGATCATCCTCTTTAAGCCATTATGAACCAAATTAAGTATCTATTTATCATTAAAAAAAAGTAAAACCTTACTTCACCACCCGCACCTCACGGTCACACAAGTGCAATATTCATATTTTCACGTTATTTACCAGGGTTCCGGATTGTATTCCCAAGTCACAATAATAAAACTTTTAGCGTACTTGAATATATTTAGTTAGTAGTAGGTTGAGGGGAGCTTCGGATTATATTCCCAAGTCACTATGACAAAACTATTAGAGTAGTTAGATATAGATGTTTAGTAATGCACCTGTAGCTCCACCAGTCGCCCGCGCATGAGACGCGATAGTATAAATTTCATAGTATTTGTTAGTCATAGAGAAGAGAACTCGTGGTTAAATAATAGCTGCGCAGATTAATAGATATGCGAAATTAAGTTGCACTTGCCGCGATCAGTCAATGAATGAGTGACCATTTTCTTAACATAACCAAGATTGAGAGAATAGAGAGTGCATCTGTATCCTCAGATACATGATGCACTTAACTCTGTTACGATCATTATGTTTATAAAATTCATGCAGCTAAAATTGTAATAACTTTTTTATTGTTTTATAATTTTCAGGGACAGATGAAAGAATATAAACATGAAGCATGATGAAACCTCATAAACATATTGGCCTTTAAACAGAGCAATCTTATTTTACTGATTCCTACAAGTTTCCTTACTTAAATTATTAAGTTTACATACATATTTAAGTCGATTGTTAAAATACACTTCTATAATGTATTTAATTATTAATGATTAAATGTTTGTAATTTTCAAAAGTAGCACTTATATGCAAAATAAAGCATTCATTATGTACTCCGTGTCCCCGGTTTTTATTTCCCCATCAAAACATTATATAAAATATAAACAGGTATATACTTAGTTAAGTATCTACCTATTTATATTAACAATATGTTAAAAAAAGAAATTCCGGGGAAACTGTCCATGGCAGTAAATATTTTTCTCCAAAGATCATAGCTCGAAAATACAACTTTTAGATCTGATTCTTGGCGAGCTTTTTTAAGTTTATCGGTAGAGTCACCTGGGATTTTATATATTTGAATTCAAATCCAACAAAAGGCAGGTAGGTTTAGCTTATTCCCAGGAACATGTTATATGAATATTTTTTAATTATTTTAGAACTATAATGATAAAAATTCAGTAAATTTTTAAATATATTCAATTTCGAGCATAATTTTTTTTTAAATCTTTTTACCGCTTCCTTATGCGCTCTCTACACTACTCGCGAAGTAGATCGAAGTTGGGCGAGGAAAACAGTGTAGAGAGGTACTTCAATTCGCTTCGTGCAACCTCACTTCGTCTCGGATGACATCCGATCGCGTCGGTTTTTTGCGGCCGAGTCAAAGGACTTATCGAAGTTACATGAAGCGTAGTGAGCTACACATTTATTAATTATTTTAAATATAAATATTAAATATGTAGCTTTCTTCATAATTATTTATCAATGGTTAAATATTGACGTCGTAATTTTCACACAATTAGGTACCTATAGCCGTGCCTCTTGAACGTTATTCATGTTAAGGGTGCGGGCAACTGAAGATAACTGACCTCTTCGCGAAGTAGCACGAGTGTAAGTCACGTTCTTCGGACTGCAATCGACTTCGACGAGCACTTTGTCAAAGTTACTTCGCGAGTAGTGTAGAGGAGGCATTAAGAATATATCCGTGAATATTTTCAATGCAAGCTATTTAGTGTAATGCTTGTCATGTCTTAATTGTGTTTGTTTCTTATGTAAATATAACGAATTAAGAATTATTTTTTCGATAGTCCTTGTAAGTAAAATGTACATCACTAGCTGACGTATACAATGACAAAGCAAAATTCGTTACACATTTTTGGGATGTTAGGTCGTCTATACGCCAGTATATTCATTAAGCATTAAGCATTAAGTCTATGATTTTTATTAGCCACTTTAAGTTTAGCCAAACCCCATACCAGCTCAATGGCATTTAGATTGCAGTGGTAGGGGGAAGTCGCAATACCTCATGCCCATTCTGCTTCAGAAGTTCATCAGCTTCATATACTAGTTCTGGTGTGTTTCGTTTTACAAGACAGAGCAGCTCTGCTTTTGTGTGATATTGTTCAAATGGAATATCATTCAAAGTAAGGCATTGTCTTATCTCATTTTAGCGACTTTGTGATGTAGGAGCTTTTTATACAACGATTGACTGTAACTGGAATTCTCCATAACTAATACACTCGGCTCATTTAAATTGGGTATGAGCATTTCTCTAAGCCATTTATTAAAGTTAACGGCATTTATGTCGTGGAGGTAGTCGACCATTTCAGATTTAGTGCTAAATACTGATAATGAGTTAGGCACAGGGCCTTTCTCCGATCCAGCATGTACAATTATATACCTTTTCCCTGTTGAAACATTTTCAATCGCACCACTTGTAGATGGCTCTTGCCAATACTTCTTCGGCCTACAGTTTTTATTATTATAGGTCTCATATAAATAAATGATTGACTTTCCTTCTCTACGTTTCAAAGCCATGGTTCTTAAAAACCGATGTCTACAGGCAGATAAGTCATAAAGTTTAATTAACAATGAACGCTTATTTTTATTTCTCTTAAATTCATATCCATTGGACAATCATAAGTGGCGAAGTGTTTCCCGGCATCCATTAAATCTAATGCTTTCTCTTAATTCCACTAACAGAGTTCTCAACTTGCATTATACGTAATGCATTATATATATATATATATATATATATATATACAATATGCGTATGCAACATGCATTATACGTAAATATGTCTATGAGAAAAAAAATTAGTTAAACAATTTTATGACAATTTAGTAAAAGTTTTTTCCTT